GAGGTCAGAGGACTTAGATTTTTCTATCTCTGATCCATGTACCCATACCAGGAGTGGGCAATTCCCAAAGGGAAAATGGTGAAACTATTAACCAACCAAGTCTGGCTTCATCAGGAAGAAGTGAGCAAAACCACCAGTTAAGTTTTGGCTCAATAAGGTTTCCATTTGGTGCTGCAAATACAGCCCTACTACCCTAATTCCCACCAGTAGGTTTACAAGATGTACAGGTAGGCATCGAGTCTCAATCCTTCAGGAGCAGTTCTACATGTGGAAACCAAAATCAAAACCACTGTTTTATGCTCAAGTATTTAACAAATTGTGAAGATGGGCTGTTTTTTTAATACCAAGGATTGAACCCGGGTGCTTAAACACTGAGCCACATCCCCAACCCTTTTTTAGATAGGTTCTAAGTTGCTTAAGGCCTCACAAAGTGACTGAGGCTGGCTTGGAACTCACAATCCTCCTGCCCCAGTTACTAGGATCACTGGTGTGCCCTACTATGTCCTCACAGCCGCTGTTTTGATGGGTTAGCTTTCAATGGTGCAAAAGTGATGTAATTTCCAGAAACTACTTTGACTCAGGTCTGTCCTCAGCCTGGTCAAAGTCTCAATATCCTAGGAAGGGGCAGCCTCAGATTCCAGCCAGCCCTGTGGTCAGGAGAGGATGAGACACTGCAGGGCACTGCTGCTGCCTGAGGACCTGCCAGGCCCAACTACCTACACTTGGTGGGTCTATCAGACACAACCACACCCCAAGTCCAGGGGCACCTGGGCTTCAACACCAGAACTACTGGCCAAGGTCTACTGAAGGATAAAACACAGCCCCTCCATGGCCTGGGAATGGAGCTCAGGGGTAGAGCACTTGCTAGCATGTGAGGCCCTGTGCTCGCTCACCAGTACTGCAAAAACAGCAACTGTGTGCTCTCATTTACTCTATTATCAAGAACTCTGTGAAGTGGGAACACAAGGAATGTGAGGTCCTGGCCACAGCAGTCATCAGCCCCTTGGTGCACCCCTGGATTCTAATCCAGTCCCAGCTTTGTTGCAAGTCACATCCTCCTCTCCCTTGAAAGTTTAAACACTTCACAGACCTTTTCCATTCCCCTGCTTGTCTTCTAAGTTGCTGGGATCACAGATGTGGCCACTATGCCCAGCTACCGTGGAGTCCTTTTAAGTACAGAGGGTCTGGAAACTGGTGTCCTACTGATACCAGTTCACTTAAGCCTGGGGCACCGACTGAAGCAGTGGAGGCAGAACGCCATGTTTTATCTTTGGGTCACATCTTGAAATACCCTTCTAGCTTTGCACTGGAGACAACCAGCATCACTTCTGCAAACTGACAGGTTATTCTGCTAGATGTGTGTTTAGCTTTTATTTGCATGTATCACATTGGTCCTAATCAAGTAATGCTACCAGAGTGCCCCTCAAGCAGACATACCACCCACACAGAGGCTGTCCTGCACTTGAGCCATTCCCACTGTGGAAAAGGAGCCCTACCAGAGCTGTGCCATTCCTGTATCAGAAAGGATGCCACTGCCCACCCCAGCTTCACACCAACATCCACAGTGAACTTCATGGAGGTGTCCTTCATCTCCTGACCACAAGCGTTAGGAGGAACTTAGAAAAGCATCATCTGGCCCCTACTACCCCAACCTAGAAAATGGAGATGTGGCCCCAAAGAAGCCCACAAAGGTGGCCTCATCCCAAGGGGTGACCACAGGAGGCGACTCTCCTACACAAAGTCCCAGAAGCCAGGCACAGTGGTGCACATCTGTAATCTCAGTGACTTGGGAGGCAGAGGTAGGATCAAAAGTTGTAGGTCAGTCTCAACAACTAAGTAAGCAACTTAGCAAGATCCTGTCTCCTTGGGCTAGGGTGTGGCTTAGTGGCAGAGTGGGATCGATCCTCAGCACCAGGTATAACTAAATGAAGGCACCTGTCCAGCTACAAGTACAAAGGAAAAAAAAGCAGCTGGGACTGTAACTAAGTGGCTACAAGTGGCTAAGCGCCCCTGCTTCAACAATCCCTAGTAACCCCACCCACCCCCAAATACAAACAAAACCAAAAAAGGTTCCCAAGGAGAATACTTCACTAAGCTCCAAAGGTGGCCACGAGATTCCCCAGCTCTACCACCCCGCAATCCATGAAAAGCCCACATATAGCCAGGTATGGTGGCACGTATCTACAATCCCAGTTATTTGGGAGGCTAAGGGCAGGACTGCAAATCTGAGGCCAGCCTCAGCAGCAACTTAATAAGACCCTGCCCCAAAATAAAACAGGCTGTTTGTGAAGTAGCTCAATCCCTAGACCTGTAGGGGGAGGAAAGCACATGTGTAGCATCTTCTGGACTAACTGACCTGTGGAGGAGATTCCGAATCCTGGTGGTGCTGCAGCTCCCTTTGAACCACTAGGCACACGCATCGCTCCCTCACCAGGTCCCCAGTGAACCTGCTGCTGAAGCTAGCCTTGGTCCTTGTAAAGTGTGCTAAGTGATATTCCACCTAGGAGCCCAGGCCAGTTGGTTCCTACATGAAAGAGCTGAATTTGTAACAATTAAGTTAGTGTGAACATGTGCATTACCTGTTTTTATTTCTCTCATTGAGCACAGGAGTTTCAAAAATGAATGGTGCCAGTTGAAGACAATTTTCAAAAGCAGAGGATCTCAGGAAAAGATTAATGGCACACTTGTGTTTAAGTAACAAAAACCTTGAGCTTTTCCCAGACTTGAGGGAAGCACCCAGAACTAAAACGAGATTCTCAGAAAGGGGCTTATGCTTCTTAGTGAGGCTGAGGGGGAAAAAAAAAAAAAGGGACAGCCGCTCTCACCAAATGACTTCTTCAGGGAGGTGCTCTTCCGAGACAGCCTGGCCACCTCCTCATCCAAGTATGTGGGTAGAGGAGACAGAGAACATTGAAAACCCCTAGGGACAGTTCTCCTAATGCAGATTCCCTGCTTCTGCGCAAGGAGAAGCACCGGATGTGCTCTGAGACCCTGGGTGGGTCTTCTGCCTGGAAGCTCCCAGGACCATACACTCCATATGCCCAAATGCTCCGCAGGCCAGGCAGTGGTACCAGCAGGAAATACCCATGTTTCACCCAATATTGCCACCAACAGCCTTTCAACTAGCTGGAAGAGAAGAGAGCAGGGAGGGCAGAAGATACAGTGATTACCAGGATTTACATTCTGCTAGAACTTCCAGGACCCTCCCAGCTACAAAAAACATTTTCAGTTTATTAAATACTATTTTTTTGTTGTTGTTTTTGACATAGGAACTGGCTATGTTGCCAATGCTGGCCCCAAACTCCTGCATTTAAGCACTCCTCCTACCCCAGCCTCCCGAGGAGCTGGGAACACAGGTAGATGCCAGCACACCCAGTTTTACTTTTCAGTTTATTAAATACTCTAATACCAATGTAAAGATAAGAAGTTTTCTGTTTGATACTTATATTCATTTCCTTAGAATATGTTTGTGATGGGCTGGGGATGTGGCTCAAGAGGTAGCGCGCTCGCCTGGCATGTGTGCGGCCCAGGTTCGATCCTCAGCACCACATACAAAACAAAGATGTTGTGTCCACCGATAACTAAAAAATAAATATTAAAAAAATTCTTAAAAAAAAAAAGAATATGTTTGTGCTCCATTCTGAGAATTAAAAAGCATAACAAAAGAAGGTCCAGATATTTAAAGGTGCTGAGGATCAAACCCATCACACACGCTCAGTAGCCACTCATCCACTAAGCTACATCCTCAGTTCTGGGAAATTTTAAATCAGCCTGGAGGTTCACAAGATGCTCTGGTGAAAAACCCAGGCCAGGCTGGGCACAATGGCACGCGCCTATGATCCCAGTGACTCAGGAGACTAAGGCAGGAGGATTGTGAGTCCAAAGCCAGGCTCAGCAATTCAGCAAAGTCCTAAAGCAACTCAGCAAGACGCTCTCTAAATAAATATAAAAAAGGACTGGGAGGGCTGGGGTTGTGGCTCAGTGGAAGAGCATTTGCCTAGCACTTGTGAGGTACTGGATTTGATCCTCAGCATCACATAAAAATAAACAAAATAAAGGGATTATGGCTACCTACAACTAAAAAAAAAAAAAGTTAAAAAAAAAGGGGGGAGGGATGTGGCTCATTGGTTAAGCACCACTGGGTTCAATCCCTGGTACTAAAACAAAAAACCCAGGGCACTGCCAGGCATAATGGCCATGTATGTGATCTCAGCAGTAATCTCAGGAGGCTGAAGCAGAGGATGGCACGTTTGAGGTCAGCCTGGCCTACTTAGCCAGACCGTCTCAAAATAAAAAATAAAAAAAGGATTGGGGATGTAGTTCATTGGTAGAGCACCCTGAGTTCACCCCAGTAATTCAAAACAACAAAAGAAGAAGTATATGGATCAACTTAACATTATATAGCTATGGTGTCACTTATAAAAACCAATTTAATTACCATTCCTTTCATGAGTCTTAAGTAGCAGATCCAGCCTGTTTTGTCTCCCCGAAATGAAGTGCCCTGAGATTATCTGCTCCTAACATACTTTATTTGGTAGAAAACTTGGCCTTCTTCATCTGGTCCTCCAAGAACCAGAGAGACGTTAAAAGCAGCCAGATTACATGTCAGTGCACATGCATGTACCCACCTGAAAGGGAGGCAGTTAGAGCCCTGCAGTGTGAGTGCAAGGTACTCTGTGGTGCTATCTCTCGCCCTGCAGTGTGAGTGCAAGGTACTCTGTGGTGCTATCTCTCCACCTAGCCGCCTTTGTTCACATTATGTCAGGACCTCTGCCTCACCATGTCCATGTGGGTTTCACATCTGTCTGCAAGTATGCTTTCCATAGCCACTGCCTCAAATGGACCTAGCACTGGGACCTGCCAGTGGGCAGCAAAAAGAGAAAGGGGCCCACTTCACCCAAACATGTCCCTACGAGAGGGGGTTAGAGCAACATGCCTGTCACCAATCACACCTGCCTGCAGCTGCCCCCTGGGTTCTCTAAGGGCAACCCAAGGGATACAGTTCTTTGTCTTTCCTTAGAAGATCATTGTACATCTGGTCATATGTAGTTTTGAAATCATAGACATTAGGCTTGTCAGGTGCTGGTCCTGGGAGCTTCACGTGAGTTCCTGTTCCGAAGGACCGGACGCTGAATCCCCGCTTGCTGGAAGACACAAAGCAGAAAGGGAATCAGTTGGATTCAGACACAAAGCAGAAAGGGAATCAGTTGGATTCAGACACAAGATTCTAAAACTGAGTAGGTATAAAATGGAAATGAACAGACTAAGCAGCTTCATTTGTGGACATTAGAGAATTAAGTTTCTAAAATATTAACCTAACGTTATTTAAAATTGAGTCAGGAATGTGGAAACACCTATAATTCTAGCAATTCAGGAGGCTGAGGCAGGAGGAACTCAAGTTGGAGGCAAGCCTCTACAATTTAGCAAGATCTGGTCACAAAAATAAAAAAGAACGGGGAATATAGTTCATTGCTACAGAACAGAATCTGCCATTATAGGGCTACATGCAAACACTACAGCTTCGAAAGCTGTTACTCTAAACTCAAAAGACTAACTGTGCATTGGAACCCTTGAGCCATCTGCCCAATGCCATGACCTCTTGCAGGATTCACTTCTCAGGATCTGTAAGACACCTGGACAGACTTGACTGCTTGCTGTGAGCACCCCTTCCCAAACTGATCTGCTCCTAGGAGACTGTCCCTGCAAAGTCCCAGTGCCCTTGATGCTGGCTGATCCACCGGACCTAAACACCCATGAGAGTCCTCTGCAACAAAGGAAGTCTCAAATAACCCAGCAATCATAGGTACAGAGGTATACACCTGTAACACTAGCTACCCAGGAGGTTATGGGCCTCAAAATAAAACAGAGCTGGGTGTAGTGGCGCAAGTCTGTAAGCTTGGAAGGCTGAGGCAGGGAATCTAGAGTTCAAAGCCAGCCTCAGCAAAAGCGAGGTATTAAGCAACTCAGTGAGATCCTGTCACTAAATACAATACAAAATAGGGCTGGGAATTGCTCAAGTGACTGAGTGCCAAAGTTCAATCCCTAGTACTCAAAAAATAAAATTAAAAGTAAAACACAGGGGCTGGGTTGGGGGCTCAGAGGTAGAGCATTCACCTATCATGTGCTGGGGCCCAGAGCAACACTTTCCTCTCCCTCAGCCACCCCAGTCAGGATCCTCCCTGCCTCAGCTCTTTGTCTGGGGCCATTCGTTCATCTAAACCAACAGGACCAGGTTATTGCCTAAGACAGGCTTTGTGCTGGGATAGGGCTTTAGGAGGCAGGGACCTGTCTCCAAGTCAATGGGGGAAGGATTGAAATTGTAAAATAAGCATGTTTACTATGAACACATGAACCCATAAAAACAAGATTACCCTAAAATGACTGGAACCAAGGCCTGGCAGAGCCAGGACTTGAGCTCAAGGTCCTGCCTTAGGAAACACAGGGAGCAGGGCACCCTGTGTAGACTAGAACACAGAGGCTGCACTAAACCCAGAGCCTAAGTTACCTAGGATAGAACTTCTGACCATAAGCTGCATACAATGGGACTCTGTATATGGGTCTGGAGCAACTCCTGTGGCTATGCCTCAAAGGGTAGCACTTTTTTTCAGGGGGGTAGGAGGGTTACTGGGGATTGAACTCAGGGGCACTCAACCACTGAGCCACATCCCCAACCCTATCTTGTATTTTATTTAGACACAGGGTCTGAGTTGCTTAGCGCCTTGCTGTTGCTGAAGCTGGCTTTGAACTCACGATCCTCATGCCTCAGCCTCCAAAGCCAATGGGATTATAGGTGTGCACCACAGGGCCCGGCTAGTTTACTGTTTAGTACTGCAAAAAAAGAAGAAAAAAACATCAATATATCATAAAGGAGTGGGGGATGTAGCTCAGGGATAGAGTGCTTGCCTATCAAGTGTGAAGAGGCTGAGTTCTATTCCCAGTGCAAAGAAAAAAAGTCACTGTAAGGCTGGGGATATACCTCAGTGGTAGACTGCTTGCCTAGCATACATGAGACCCTAGGTTTGATCCCAGTACACACACAAGAGAAGCTATTGTGAAAAAAATGTTCAATTAAGGAAAACTCTTTATCATTATCACAAAGCTAAAATGAACATTGTACAGAATCCTAAGGAAATACTCAAATTAACAAACTTGGCCTGCAGTATTTTTCTAATATTCTGCACTAATCAAATTCTTCTCTTAGTATTGGGGATTGAACCCAGAGACACTAAGCCACATCCCCAGTTTTTTTTTTCCAATACTGACAACTGAACCCAGGACCTCATTATTGCTAGGCAAGTACTCTACCACTGAGCCACATCCCCAGCCCACTCAAAGTTGAAGATTTATTTATATTTACAAACTTTCTGAAATGTGACTTCCTACTAATGATGTTAGCACACACCTGTACGGCCAGAACTCAGGAAGCTGAAGTGATAGAATGGCTTAAACCCAGAAGTTTGAGACCAGCCTGGGAAATGAAGCGAAATCTTACCTCAAAACAATTTCTTGAGGCTAAAGCAAGGGACTGAAAATTCTAGGCTAGCCTCGCAAGATAGTAGGACCCTGCCTCAAATGTTAAAAAAAAAGGGGGGGGGGGGGGCGGGGGCATACTCAGTGGTAAAGCACCCTTGGATTCAATCACCAGTGCTTTAAACAGACAGACAACTTTTCATGAGCTCTTCTAGCATCTAACAAAAAGCCAGGTATGGTGGCATATGCCTCTGATCCCAGTGATTCAGTATAGGAGACTGAGGCAGGTGGACCACAAATTTGAAATGAACTTTGGCAACTTAATGAGACCCTGTGTCAGTGCTAGAACACCCTGAATTCAATCCAGCAAAGGAAGGGGGGGAAAAAAAAAAGCCGTGGTGGCACTGTCCTGTAATCCCAGCAGCTTGGGAGGCCGAAGCAAGAGGATCAAAAGTTCAAAACCAGTCTCAGCAACTTAGTGAGGTCCTAAGCAACTCAGTGAGATCCTGTCTCTAAATAAATTTCCAAAAAGGGCTGTGGATGTGGCTCAGTAGTTTAGTACCCCTTAGTTCAATCCCCAGTACCAATAAATAAATAAGACAGAATTGCCCAAATGCACTTTTGAGAGATTTGTAATAAAATTAACGCCTGGACAGGAGCCCTGTAAGTTTCATAACCACCCCAGTTATTCAATATGAATAAATCTTAATATATCACAATGAAGAAATGAATACTGAAAGCCAGTGATGTTCGATATATCAGTGGAAAGCAGATTACTCAAGTTATTTCATCTCCCTAAATGTGTGCACACATATAAAAAGATACCCAGGAGGAAGTACCCCAAAGTGGTACTAAGTAATCTTCATTCTCTTCATCTTTCACTCCATTGTGCATCTACTCACTCACAAGGAAATATGAAGGATGTCGAAGCAGGTAAAAGCAACAGAAAAATTTACTTCCACCTGGTGATTATTTGGAGGGGCTCTTCTGCACCTGGTGCCATTCCAGACTTAAATCTTCACTGACTGCCTCTGGCAAGGCTATAGGCTTTAACACAGCTGTTAAGTCTCAATTCATTAACAAAATTGTTAATGAATCATCAGTGAAGGAGGTCTCCCAATCAACCTTGGATAGTTTTCCAGGGGTGTGGACTTTGCACTCTTTTACTTAAATGTACCAGATGTCTAATGCTATGTTCAACAGAAAACTGCAGACATAAATGCACACCCAGATGGGCATGGTGCACATGCCTGTAATCCCAAATATGTGGGTTGAGGCAGGATCATACCAAGTTCCAGGACAATCTAATCAATTTCAGAAGAACCTATCCCAAAACCTAATTTACAAAAAGGATGGGACATAATTCACTGGTAGAATGCTTGCCTGGCATGTGAGGCCCTAGGTTTGATCACCCAGAACTGCAACATATATATAAATAAATACATGAAGACACAACTCAATGTAATTCTATCACATTTCTGGCTTAAAAACAGTCTTCACATGGATTTGTTAGGTTCAAAGCATACCACCATCTACAGAAAAGAGAGAAAAAGACACTAAGTGAGCATTGTGGACTGCGTGGTAAACTGTAGGAGAATTAAACTCAAGATTAGCAGATTACACGTGTTACCTTCAGCCTCTCTAAAAGACGTAAGGGGCCTTCCGATTTTTAGAGGGCACTCAGGAGAGCACAGGCTGGAGCATCACAAGGGAACGGCGGCTTTTTTTTCCTTAAAATCTTTTTTTTTTTTTAATTTAGTTGTAGTTGGACACAATATCTTTATTTTGTTTATTTTTATGTGGTGCTGAGGATCGAACCCAGGGCCTTGCACGTGCCAGGCGAGTGCTCTACCACTGAGCCACAACCCCAGCCACTCCTTAAAATCTTAAATAAATAAAATTTGTGTCTAACTACAACTAAACGATAGATATATTTATAAAAGTTTACATGAAGTAACTTCGGGAAAAAAAGGATTTCAACTGCGCTCTACTATTCCAGTTGGCATTTATACCGAACTTTAACTCTAAAACAAGAGGTCAACGTTTCATCTTCTCAGCGGCTGAACGAAAAAACCTGTGTCGGGGAGGAATAAGCTTTTATTAACATGCACAAGGGCCAGGAAAGGTGAGCCGGTAAGGAGACGAAGGCCAGGACCACCGACCCCAACTCACGCCGCGTCCCCGCACTGCCCGGAGGCTGCGGGGAGGGAGGCCGGGCAGACCCGCAGACGTGGACAGCAGCGCCCACGCGCTCGAGACGCCGAGTCGGGCCACCACTGCTTCCAGACTCGTCCCACCGCGAGCTGACGCGGTGCGTCACCAGACCCGGCCTCGCTCCGGACCCCCGACGCCGGCCGCCGCCCTCGGGCCCCAGGCGAGCTCAGGCGAGCGGCACCCGCCCTCCGGGTTCGTCAGGGCGGACGGACGGCCGCGAGCGTTCCGGCTCCGCAACGGACGTCCCCGCGCCGACCGCCCGAGCGGGAGCCACGCGCTCCGACGCCGTCCGCGGGGCCTCGGAGCCGCGCGCCGCCAGCACTGGTGGGGACGGGGGTCGGGAAGGGAGTGCGCTGGCCAGGGCGGAGTACCCACTACCTGAGGATGTTGTGCGCCTCCATGCTCCGATTCTGGTTACTCGAGCACACCACCGCCACCCGCAGCGGCGACGACGGCATGGCGAAGGCCGCACCGTCCGCCGAACCCGCTCCCGGGCTCCCACCCAGCCGCGGACTTCCGCGCGAGCAAGATGGCGGCGACCGGAAGTCCGCGATGCCGACGTCGCGCGTGCGGACACCTCCCCTCGGCCCCGCCCCTCGGGCGCCCGTTTCTCTCTGAGGGAGCACCGGCGTGAGCAGCCTACGGCGTCGGGCAACGGGGTCTAACCCCGAGCGCGTTCCGGACGTGCGCAACGGAGGCCGGCGCTCCCGACACACAGGGCCGGCAGGCCGCTCGGCCTGTGACGTCACACTCCCGCGACGGCGCCGAGAGTGACGCGCGAGACACCACCCCCTCCCGAGACGTCAGCGGCTCTCGCCGCCGTCGTCGGGAGTGAAGAGTCGGGACCGCGCCTACCGACACGTCGGGGGTTAGCGGTTCTGGGAGGGCGCCGCGCGTTCCCCTGGTCCCCATCGGGCCCTGCTTCTCACTCCTGCCTCCCTGCAGCCGCCCGTCCTAGGCCCCGGAGCTCGTGCGTCCTCACGTCGCCCCCGAGACGCCGCCTCCGCCCTAGGAGAACTTCCTCGTCCTCCAGGCCCCAGGCTGCCACGCAGTCGCCCGTCGCTCGGCTCCGAGAACCCGTCCCGGGCACCGGCGTGTTCGGAAGGCTGGCTTGTCGTCCCGGCTGAGGCTGGAGGGTCGCTTGAGGACAGGATTTTGGCACCTGAGCAACATAGCGAGACCCCTATGCTGGAAGGAAGGAAAAGAGCAGCTGATACAACTGGAGATGACCCGTGAAAGGTCCGGCTGGGAGGGCAGACCGCCAGGGTCCTCGTGTTGGGTCTCTGCAGACGCTGTGAGCTTGCTGGAGGTTGGGGGACCTGTTGTTAGGGTAAAACCAGACCCGTCGCCAGGTGCGGTGGCTCACGCCTGTGATACCATCGGCTCGGGAGGCTGAAGCAGGAGGATGGCGAGTTCAAAACCAGCCTCAGCAACGGCGAGGCGCTAAGAACTCAGTGAGACTCTGTCTCTAAACGAAAAATAAAAAAGGTCTGAGGATGTGGCTCAGGAGTCGAGTACCCCTGAGTTCAATCCCCAGTACCTCCACCCCCCCCCCAAAAAAAAAAAAAAAAACAGGTCGGAGTTCTCCTGCTGCCAGCATTCAGCTGGAAGTGCGCAGTGGGTTGGTGTTTTGCTGTGGAAGTGCGACAGAACGAAGAGGGCCGAGGATGGGTGGTGATCCGCTGTAGAACAGACCTGGATAAGACCGTCAGTGATAGCTAAAAGCGACTGCCACGAAGAGATGCCATGGCACTGCCTCGTGGACCCCAGTGGAATGCCGGAACTCCTCTGGAGCAAAACACATGCTTGAAACAAGGATGAGGAGAAGGTGGCCAGTTTCTTCATATCCGAGGAAGGTGGAACTGGAGGCACACACCGGTGGCAAACAGGCTCTCTGGAGAGGAGGCCCAGGAACTCAACCCCACGTGCTGGGGAACTAGCCTTGATAAAGAAGTTTCCCATAATTGCTCTTGGTGTTTGGGGGAAGAAAGTGTTTGAGAACCAGGTGTTCAAATTCTTTTTTTTTTTTTTTCCTGGGGATAGACCCAGGGGTATTTGCCCAACCCTCATATTTTATTTTGATAGAGGGTCTCACTATGTCTCTGAGACTGGCCTCGATATTTTTTGCCATTTGCCTGCCCCACCCTTCCCAGTCACTGGAATCACAAGCATGTGCCCTCATAATAAGTCAGGTGTCAATGTTTTGTAATTTTTTAGTTGTAGATGAACACATTATCTTTATTTTTATATGGTGCTGAGAATCAAACACAGTACTTCACACATACTATACAAGAGTTTTACCACTGAACTAATTGCAGCCCCAGGTATTAAAAATCTTTTTTTTTTTTTAATGTTTTTATTTTTTGGTTTTCGGTGGACACAACATCTTTATTTTTATGTGGTGCTGAGGATCGAACCCAGCGCCCCGCGCATGCCAGGCAAACGCGCTACCACTTGAACCACATCCCCAGCCCGGTGTTAAAAATCTTTAAGGACCTCCAGGGTACAGTTAGGGAAATGATATAAGGAAGCATGTGCTTTGTAGGATTTGGCAGGTTGAAGGATGAATTAGGGCATCTTCCCCGCCTTTGCCGTTTTATTTGAATATTTTGAATGCAGATCATAAAGTCTAAAGCATATCAGTCATTTATGGGTGGGAGTATTACCTGCAGACCAACCAGGGCACCCGCCTGGATCTCAGCTGGACAGATTCTGCTGCTCATCTTCATAGGAAATAAGCAAATGATGTTTTAAAAAAAATAATAATCACTTGCTTGTTAATTAAGCAGGCAGGCAGCAGAATCCTGGCTGAACTGAAGACCATGGGAATCCTAGGGCCCCAGCATAGACAAGCCCCAGTCTTCCCTTTAGGATCCTTCCACAACCCACAGCATATGGCCTTCCCTTGTGACCATGAAGTACCAATAAAAGAACGAAGATACAGGAGGGGGTACTGGGCTAGGTGCCACATAACTATTATCCCCAGTAACTCAGGAGGCTGAGGCAGGAGGATTGCAAGTTCAAAGCCAACCTGGGTAATTTAGTGAGACCCTCTCAAGACAGAAAAAGGACTAAGGGTGTAGCTCTGTGGTAGAACACCCTTGGGATCAATCCCAGTACTGCAAAACAACCCAGACAGGGCTGCCAGAGAAGATCCTTTGGTATATTTGATAAATCGAAGGATTGTTTGGTGGGTGATGAGAGATGATCTAGAGCTGGCCATGGTGGCACGTACCTATAATCCCAGAGACCCAGGAGGCTAAAGCGTGAAGATCACAAGTTTCAAGCTGACTTGGACAACTTAGACCCTGTCTCCTGAAAGAAAAGGACTGGAGAAGCAGCTCTGTGGTAAACCCAGGGTTCTTTCCCTAGCAGCCCCCCATAAAAAACATTGGGGAAAAGGCTGAAATAAGCATGTCAATCCTTGACAAGTTTCTGGAAATATGTGTACGTCTGTGAAACAGATGTAAGAATGCATCTATTATTCTGGGAAAATCTCATCCTTCCTTGTGATTCTTGTGTTCCCTTTCATGCAACCCGCATGTCTCGCAGGCAACCTCTGATCTTCCTGTTGCTGTAGGTTGCATTTTCTAGAATTAAGTTTTTAATTTTTTTATTATTTTCAGTTATCATGACTGGAGCATGTATTTTGCCATAATTTGCATACATGGAGTATAACCTTCCATTTTTGTGGTTGTACATGATGTGGAGTTCCACTGGTCATGTAATCATATGTGAACATAGGGTAGTAATGTCTAATTCTTTCTACTGTCTTTCCTATTCCCATCCTCCTCCTTTCCCTTCAGTCCCCTTTTTCTAATCCAGTGAACTTCTGTTTTTCCCTCTGCCCCCCACCCCTTATTGTGTGTTAGCATCCCCTTCCTTATAAGAGAGAACATTCGGTCTTTGGTTTTTTGGGATTGGCTTATTTCACTTAGCATAACAGCCTCCAGTTCCATCCTTTTACTGGCAAATGCCATAATTTCATTATTCTCATTTTTCTAGAATTATTATAACATACTATGTATTCTTTTGGAGTAGGGTTATAGCTCAGTGTTAGAGGGCTTGCCTAGCATGCATGAGGCTCTGGGTTTGATCCCAGTACCACCACAAAAAAAAAAAAAAAAGTGTTCTTTTCTCTGGTTTCTGACCCTCAGCAGTAGTACCCAGATCATCCATTATCAATAGTTGGTTCATTGTCGTTGCTGAGCTGTTTGCACCCTGTGATGTGGACATACCCACTCTCCTGTTGGTGGGCATTTGCACTTTGTTTAGTATTTGGCTACCACAGATAGATATTTTATGACTGCAGTGAACATATATGTGTGTGAACACATGCTTCATTTCCCTGCATTGATATCTAGAAGTGGAATATTGAATCATGGTGGTTAGTGCACATTTGATATTTTAAGAAACTGTTAAAAGGCTGGGAATGCAGCTCAGGGATGGAGCACTCACCTAGCACATGTGAGGCAATGGGTCCAGTCCTCAGCACCACATAAAAATAAATAAAAGGTGTTGTGTCAATCTACAACTAAAAACATTTTTTAATATTTATTTTTTTAATTTTATGTGGACACAACATCTTTATTTTTTTATTTTTACATGGTGCTGAGAATCGAACCCAGTGCCTCACGCATGCTAGGCGAGCGCGCTACCATTTGAGCCACATCCCCAGCCATAAAAACATATTTTTAAAAAAGAAACTCTAGGGCTGGGATTGTGGCTCAGCGGTACAGCGCTCGCCTAGCATATGCAAGGCAATGGGTTTGATCCTCAGCACCACATAAAAAAATAAAGATTGTGTCCAACTACAACTAAAAAAGAAAAAATTAAAAAAAAAAAAAACCTGCTAAGGGGCTAGAGATGCAGCTCGCCTAGCATGTTGAAGTCCCTGGAATAAATACCCAGTACTGTCAAAAAGAAAAAGAATTATCAGCCGGGTGCAATAGCACACACCTTTAATCCCAGCGGAGCGGGATTTTGCATGGGACAAAGGATTACAAGTTTGAGGCCAGCCTGCAAAACATTGAGAACCTGTCTCAAAAATGAGAAAGCTGGGTGTGGAGACTCGTGCCTGCAATCCCAGCGCCTTGGGAGACTGAGACAGAAGGATTGTGAGTTCAAAGCCAAACCTCAGCAATGGCAAGGCGCTCAGCAACTCAGTGAGACCCTGTCTCTAAATACAAATACAAAATAGGGCTGGGGATGTGGCTCAGTGGTTGAGTGCCCCTGAGTTCAATCCCCAGTACCTAAATAAATAAATGAAGGGATGGAGGCTGGAGTTGTGGCTCAATGGTAGAGCGTTTCCCTGGTGTGTGTGAGACCCTGGGTCCTTTCCTCAGCACCACATATAAATAAATAAAAGATCCATTGACAACTAAAAAGTATTTTTTTTTCTTTTTCCTTCCTTTCAAAGAGAGAGAGAAGAGGAGAGAATTTTAATATTTATTTTTCAGCCTTTGGCGGACACAACATCACTGTCTGTATGTGGTGCTGAGGATCGAACCCGGGCCGCACGCATGCCAGGCGAGCGCGCTACCACTTGAGCCACATCCCCAGCCCTAAAAAGTATTTTTTAATGTTTATTTTTTAAGTTTCAGGTGGACACAAATATCTATTTTACATTTATGTGGTGCTGAGGATCAAACCAGTGCCTTGTGCATGCTAGGCGAGCACTCTACCACTGAGCCACAACCCCAGCCCCTAAAAAGTATTTTTTAAAAAATGAGGGG